GGAGGGGAACATCAGTGTGAAGGGACATATTGATTAGTTACCACCTGCACATGGATTGAGCCTGCAGCTGAGGTATGTGCCATTGACCGGAATCAAACCTCAGACCCTTCAATCCGCAGGCTGATGCTCTAACCACCGAGCCAAACCGGCTAGGACTGAGCTAAATACTTTTAAAGCATATTATCTCATTTAATCATATATCACTTTTGTAAGGGTAGCTATTAATATTCTTATTTCATACATGAGGAATTTAAAAGTGTTGTGTAACTTGACCAAAGTCACATAGCTAGTAAGTGACAGAGATTAGACTCACAATGAGATTTTCTAAAAAGGGGTAGAGTGATATACAAGTAGAAAAGGATTTTTTTAGAAATATGAGAAATGGAGCTCAAGATGTTTGTGGGAGAGAGCGATTACTAACGTCCCAGAAACAAAAAGTGTATACTGTGAGCATAATGAAGTTATGATCGCTGATTTCTTCCAAAAGAAAATGCTAGAATATAGCCTTAGTCCTCATAGATCTAGTCAGCAAGCCCTAGTGGAATACGTGGGCCCAGTAGAATAATCATAGAAATCAGTCCCTTTCTTCCCCTCTACAATGGCAGCATTCCACTCTGCAAAACTAAAACAGATGACATGGAGAAAACGTACATTGAGACCTGGAAAAAAATGTAGGGGGGGTGATTAGGAAGCATTTGGGAAGGAAATCAGAGGACTGTGGGTGACGGGTGACAAGAAGAAAGTAGTAGTGTTGGCCATGATTTACCTCTCGTTATACGCCTGTAGTTAACCATTAGCCCCTTTTTAAACCAGAGTAATTGCTTTCTTGAACTACTGACTTCGTTCAATCCAAACTATTTGAATTTGGCTTAAATTTGTGTATAAATTCACAAGTATATATATGTTCTATTTAGGAACAAAAACCCTTTGCTGATTTACATTTTTCATGCAACAGCATCTTTTAGAAACTCAATAAAATCTGCAAATAATTTCTTAAAAACATGATAACATATTTAGGATTTGATTTAAAATACTTAAAGGGGAAGAAAGAGAGGTAAAGCCAATGTGGCAAGTCCTCTTAATTGTTGATGCTGGGTGACAGGTCTGCAAGGCTTCTCTCATACTCTGTGTAGGTTTGAATTTTTCTTCAGTGAGTTATTTTAGCACATGCTCTAATGTCCTCAGTAGAGTAGCATAACTAATATTCTAGTGAAGACTCTTTACTAAATTTGTGAATGGTGCTCGTGGCAGGGGATGAGTGGGGGATTCCATAAAAGACTGTTAAAAACACAGCAGAGAAGAAACCGTCTATACTCTGACATTAAAGAAAAAACTGTCTAACCAAAAAAATTCTAAAATTCTAACAGCTTTTCTGATACTTCCACTTTTAAAAAAAGAAAAACATTGACAAAAAACTGAAAGGAGGAATCTATACAAATTATCTTAGTTTTCATGCATCCTCCATACCAGTGGTTCCCGACATGTATAAAGAATACATAGCCTGGCTGGCGTGGCTCAGCGGCTAAGCATCTACCTATGATCCAGGAGATCGGGGTTCAATTCCCGGTCAGGGCACATGCCCGGGTTCTGGGCTTGATCCCCAGTGCAGGAGGCAGCCGATCAATGACTCTCATCATCAGTATTTCTAGCTCTCACTCCCTCTCTGAAATCAGTAAAGACATTTTTAAAAAATATATATATAAATTCATATGTGAAAGAAATATCATTTGTAGAACAAATATACACACACACTACTGATTTTCAAAGATATCAGGCTGCTTAATGTTGTTAACAAAATACAGATTAATTCTGAAAGCATTCCTGAATTCATTGTAGCTTTTGTCATGATGCACATTTTCTTAAGGCATGGATACTAAAATTACAGCTGCTATCATTGGAGATCTCTGAAATAACTCTGTTTTATTTAAAGTGAAGAACTATTACTTGATATTTATTGATGCTTTTTTCCTTTCTCTCTGTATTTCCAGGGGTTGGTGTGTGCTGGATTGGCTGACATGGCCAGACCTGCAGAAAAACTCAGCACAGCTCAGTCTGCTGTTTTGATGGCTACAGGTAAATTAAGTGAATATCCTTCACGTTCCATGTAGGATATTCAGTATTTTTATGTAGTTTACATCAGTTTATTTAACAGTTTAATGTTTGGGTTACATACATATACACCCACACAAAGGAATTCACAGTGTCATGTTTAGGAAGTTATTAGATGCAGAAGGCAGAGGAGGAGGAGGGTTGCAGGGAATAGGTATCTGCGTGGGTTTTTGTTTTTTACGTTTTTGCCTTGAGCATAATTTTATAAGCAGGAAAAAAGTTCCAGTTAATATTCACTTGCCCTATAAAGATTTTCTTTGATGTAAGAACTGAGTATTTTGTGTAACACTGAATTATAGCAACTTTATTAAAGACTCAGAGTATAGTTTTTCTTTGCCCTCTGTCCTTCATTTTGTTGTCATAGTCTTATTTATAAGTATTTTATTCTAATATTAAGTGTGCAGATAAGATATGGCAATGGCCCAGCCAGTGTTGCTCAGTGCTGAACGTGGACCCATGAACCAGAAGATAAGGCTTTGCTTCCTGGTCAGGGCACATGCCCGGGTCGTGGGCTCACTCCCCAGTAGGGGGTGTGCAGGAGGCAGCCAATCGGTGATTCTCATCATTGACTTTTCTATCTCTTTCTCCTCTTTCTCTCTCAAAATCAATTTAAAATATATATATATTTTTAAAAAAAGATATTGCAATGGTACCTATGCTTTTTTTAAAAAAAAATTTTGTTTCAACAGGGCTTATTTGGTCAAGATACTCACTTGTAATTATTCCAAAAAACTGGAGTCTGTTTGCTGTTAATTTCTTTGTCGGTGCAGCAGGAGCCTCTCAGCTCTTTCGTATTTGGAGGTAAGAGTATAAAAAAAAAAATCTGTCTCAGAAGTCACACAGGTGGCAATACTTTTTTTTTAAGATTCATGTATACTCTTAAGATGGGTATACATCTTTCTGCCTAAAGCAAAAATTTAGCATTTCTAGTAAAGTCTGGGGATTTAAGTTAAAAGTGTTAAACAGTGTGTTTCCTAGGTTTTAAATTCGTGTATTATCTAGATGTATAGATCTTCCATAGAATCTCTGTCATTAAGATAACATACACACTGTATGATATACTAAGTAATTTTCTGAATGAGCCTTTTATCACTTTAAAATACGTTTTTATTAATTTCAGGGAGAGGAAGGGAGAGAGAGAGAGAGAGAGAGAGAAACATCAGTGACGAGAGAAAGTCATTGATTGGCTGCCTCCTGCATGCCCCCTGCTGGGGATCGAGCCTGAAACTGGGCATGTGCCCTGACCGGGAATCAAATCCTGACTTCCTGGTTCATGGATCCATGCTTAACCACTGAGCCATGCTGGCAGGCTATCATTTTCAATTATATATAATAAAGTAGAACTAAAACATAGAGTTACATAATATTGGAAATGATGTTTCCAGTGAGGCTACTGGTTTCATTGGAAAGTGTTCCATGAGCATTGGAAATTTTTTAAACTGCTTACTCAGTCATTAACATTATTGGTCATTGATTGATTAATATTCTGCAATGAGCTCATCCGAGATGAAGGCTCTGGCTTTCTTTGAACCATAGAACCTTTCTAAACTAAAAACAGTGTCATAAATAACAGCTTTCTTTGGCTAAAAAAATTGAATGATCTCAATAAAGAGAAATATTAAGTTATAATTTACATTCCTTACAGAAGGCATTCTGTTCTGTATAGTATGTTTTTATTTCATTCATCTTTACCATACCTAGGTTAATGAGTATCTGTATAATTTAACCTTTTCATAATCATCTAGCACATAGTGGATGGGGGAATGAACAACTCACTCATTGTAGAGTATGCCTCACAACCATTTGAGGACTTACTTATGCAATATAAACTTTAATTTGTACAGTGATTTTATTCACAGAGTTTTTTTCATATGCCATCCTATTTTAACATATTAACTCATGATAGTAGAGCTAAGAGAATGCTAAGTGCCATATGCCATATTCAGAACTATTATTTCTAATATCAGAAATTCAGATACAGTTTGAAAAAAGGATTTTTGGCACCTTTTAGTTACAGTAGCAGATTAGGAGATTTAGTTATAAATACAGATGTTGGGCTCTGGAGCATTTAGTAAAACACTATTGAGTATTTGAATCTGGGCCTTTTGAGAGACATGGGGGGTATGGTAGGTGTCATGGAGGAACTTCCTTCTTGTATATGTCCTGTCCTCCACTCTGTTGTAAGCTGGGAGAAGAGTCGGTGAAGATGTTCATACGTTTTTGTCATGCTCTTGTATAGTTCAAGAGTGAATATAGTCATTAAAATAATACTTCTGTGCAGGAAACTATGTCAGTTAAGGTGTTAAAACTTTTTGGCATCTGGAAGCCAGATGCAGATAAAGTCTGGGTCATTTTCCTTTCTGCCTCTTTCTACCCACAAGGCCTTGGGAAGATTGTATTTACAACTGTATAGCCTCTTGACTAGTGAGAGGGAAGAGATGGAATATGCTTCTCATTCCCTTTTTATTGTATATTTATCTATTGTGATTCATGATTTTTCTTTCTGTTTTCTTTACAGATATAACCAAGAACTAAAAGCTAATGCAAACAAATAAAAGAGCTCCTGATCATCCCAACAACCTAGATGTAGCCATAACCACTGGGACCTAGTTTGATTTGTCATTTGGTTATTGGTAAGGTGAAGCTCCCTGTGCTAATGATTGGAATGCATAAAAAAATTCTAACTTAACTGGGAGCTAGGACTCGATTCAACAGAAAAATAAAGCAAATTATTAACAACAGTGTCTCTCTACATATGATTTAAGAAACTTGTCTATGGATATTAGTAACATTTTTTCCTACTATTTGCTTGTAATAAATCGTAATTGCTCATACATACCCCTGGCTGCCTCTGTTCTAGTCTGCCAGTGTGTGTGTATTTAAGGGCACACACGTTCAAGCGAGTCGAAAGATAGTTGAAAGGTCAAGTGATCTGTTTTCAGTGAAGGATGTGCTAAAAGTAAAAGGAAATAGAGCAAAAGAGAGTGAGAAGTGGGTAGTAGAATGGCTAGCAAAATGACCTCAAACTATTTTAAAATATTTTAACTTGAAGTATCTTGAAGAATTATATTTTACATACCATATGAAATTCTTCCTTTTTACATGAATAATGTAGGACTTCTAAATGTTTGAATTATATTCGGTAACTGATACAATGTGGCAGGAAAAGTTCTAGAGGCAGGCATACCTGAGTTTGAGAGTCAGCTCTATGACTTACAATTTGTGACTTTGGGCACGTTAAGAAAGTGTCTAGCAGAGCACCTGGGACATAAGTCTGCTTTCTGTAAATGTTTGGGGCTTTCGTTCCCATTATGAGGAAAGACGGCATAGATTGCTAATCCTAGAAATAACAGTCTATCGGATTTGAGCTCCAATTTGATGTACAGAGTTTTTTTTCTAAAAGTCTTTGTAAAGCCAGTCCTAGTTAAAACTGCAGTCGGAATCAGCAAAGCAAGTTATTTCTAAATATGAAGAAGCAAGTAACGAACTTGTTGAATAATAACATACTATAACGATCAAAATTTGGCAGTTAGCCATCGAAAACCTTGCGCTTTTTCATATATCCCTTCACTGTAGTCTGTCTGAGGAGGGATTTGACATTGGCAAAAGGGAAGAGGTCCTGACGAGTCAAATGATTACCGCTTCCTTTTTATAAGCCACACTGTTAGTTTGGCATGTGCGTGTTTCCTAGGGTTAAGCATTTAGGAAAAACATCTATTATGAAATATGACATAGATACACAAAAAATTATTAAAATATATTTTGAATTGGTGTTTCACTTTTCTTTTTTTTCCATTAAAGCCTGCTCTTATATGGGCTCTCTTGAGCCCCACTTGCCAGTCAAATTAATTGTAGCATTTAGATGCAATCACAGACAATCCTCTTGGTTCTCAGAAGCTCCATTGATAGACAAATCGTCCCATGCTTCCTTTCTGCCCCCAAACTCTCATTCATCTAATCAGTTTTACAAATTAAATGACTCTAATAAGTGTCCAATCAAAAACTCCCGCACTGCCTGGCCGGGTGTGGCTCAGTGGTTGAGCATCGACCTAGGATCCAGGAGATTGAGGTTCATTTCCCTGTCAGGGCACATGTCTGCCTTGTGGGCTCGATCCCGTCAGGGATGTTGCAGGAGGCAGCCGATCAATGACTCTCTCATCATTGATATTTCAACTTCCTCCCTCCCTCTCTCTGAAATCAATAAAATATATTTTTTAAAAAAACTCTCGCACTGCCGCTTGGAAGACATAGTTCAGTGGTCAGTTTCACAGCTATTTTTAAAAACTTAGAAGAATTGATAAACTGGAAGTCCTTACTACCAATGTAGGTACTGAACTCTATAAAAATACCTTTCATGGTACAAATCACTTGATCAGGCTACTTGAGTTGGATTCTATATAAAAATGTTCTAATGAGTCCTTACTGATGACTTCATTAGGTGTGTTTTCTCAGTGCCAGGTCTGACAGCCTGGGTTTCAATCAGGTCTGCCCCATAATAACTGTGAGACCTTATTAACCTTGGTCTCAGCATTAGTATTTCCAAGAGTCAAATGGGGATGATAGCACTTACTGTATGGGATTGTTGTAAAGATGAGTTGAGATAATGTTTTAACACAGTTCCTGGTCCATGATGGGTGTTAAATAACTAGAAAGATTCAGAAAATGGTAAGCTTATTGATTGAAGATAGACCTGGAAAGTACTTTCTTATACAAGGGAAGTTTTAATACTGCTGCAAAACATAGATGCCGTGTTAACCAATACTTAATACCACCTCCTGAGGTAATAACTATTGGAACGTGAAGCTTTCATAGGTTGAAGCAGAAAACAAGTGCTTGGGATTGGGGGCCAGAGGCAGGGTGGAGAGTGCTCAATAAGAGGCACATTCTTACCCTAATCTTTTTTCTGGCTTGGCATTGGTGTCAAGGAAACATTGGCCCTAAGTACATCAATGCTGCTGTTTCTCCATAGTAAACATTTTTTCATTGTTAAAATGATGTGTAGTGTAAATTGAGGATATAGTCCAATTCCCTCTCCCAGTCAGTGGAAAGGCGTCGTCCTTGCCAGCTGCCACAGGAGCAGAGAAGCCCAGATGCCAGTGTTTCCCACACCAGACCCTCTTTTTAGCCTTGGCCTGCAGGACATTCCCAGCATGGCTTCCTCACCCTCCCCTCTGCTAGCTGCTAGATAATCCCTTGCTCAACCCTGGCCTGGTGCAGAAAACTCCCTGACTGGGTGCCATCACGTCTTCCCCAGATGTAAGTAATAAAGGCTATGTCTTTTCCCTCTGGTCCCCTGCGTGTTTTTTCAGGACTAGCAAAGAACAGCATGGTGCTCCCATGGTGAAAAGTTGAATCTTAACAGGATTGACCTCAAAACCCAGGTTCCTCTCTATAAAGCAAAAGTGTTGCTACTGGAGCTTGTTTATATGATGACAAAAATAGAAAGCACTGGTATTAAGACTGGCTTTCTCCCTACGGGGACTGTTTAATTATATGAGATACGAGTCCAGTTATATTAAGACTGGTTTCCACACACTAGAAAATTCACTCGAGAAACAGTTAAATGAGCCCTTTTCCCTCTCCCTCAAGACACCTGTTTTACATTTTGAAGCAAACTGAAGTTCAGGGTTGGGCTCTGAGAGCGCTTGCTTACCTTTTCAGTTTGGCGGTTCTAAGTTCCAGTTTCACACGTGGCAGGAAATGTAACTGTAGTTGTGCTATACATACGAATAGCTAGGAAGTCAAACCATGATTTCAGCTGTTAAAAAATAGATTACCCTCTTAAAACACATTTTGCCAGTGTCACAGTGGGTTAAACTCCAGCCCAGTGCCACATGGGACTGCAGGTTCTCTTAGGGGTGAATTTCGTTAGAAGTATGCATGTGACCAGTCAGAAAGGGCAAGTGGCTCAGTGGTTGGGTGTTGACCTACAATCCGGGAGAACATGGTTCGATCCCCGGTCAGGACACATGCCCAGGTTTTGGGCTCAGTCCCCAGGGGGGGCATACAGGAGGCAGCCGATCAATGACTCACTGTCATCATTGATGTTCCCATCTCTCTCCCTTCCTCTTTGTGAAATCAATAAAAATATATTTAAAAAATAAATTTCCTTTAAAAAAAAAAGAGCAAGTCAGAAGTTTACCATACAAAACTCCCCGAAGGTAAGTACCGAATGCACTTATGAACTGGTATGGTTCATAGGCCTGGTAAAAGCCATGATCGTTATTGACCAAAATTCAGTGTTTGCTTACTCAGGAGATACTTGCCTTCATGATGGTCACCGGCCAGTTGTTGCCTCACTTCCCTGCCCCTTCACCCACTTGCCGAGAGCGGAGAAGCTGAGCCAGCTCCCCAGGTGAGAGCACCGGGCTGGGGGAGGGGCAGGGCAGCGCCGGCCAATCGGGAGACAGTCAGTGCACTTGGAACAATGGGCTGCTGCTGAGGGTGTGGCCAGGAAAACGGCTTTTCCACGAAACTGTCATTTTACTGGTCAGCTCTGGACAGACATGGTACTTCCACTGTCTTGGGAATAATGTCACCCAGCCCCTCGCCTGTTTTCTGCGCCTCTGAAAGATCTAGTCCCTAGTCTAGGCTCTGGCTTCCTCAGCCTCGGAGGAGGAGGTATGTGGACAGGGCAGCCTCAGCAGGAAGGCGGCTAGGGGGTGGCGCCCCGGGGAGGTGCCGGGTTGGAGCCTAGAGGAAAGTGGGAGAGCCGCGGGTTAGGAGGCAAGGTTCGCGCCTGTCCGGCAGTCTTAAGTGAGGTTAGAAGCTTGAGGGCGTAAGTGTTGCTTGTGCTACGGACCTGCCACGCGCCACTGTTCTGACTTCCTGTCTTTCCCTCTCTTCTGCAACCTCTCCGAGATATCCCCTCGTCAGTCAGCACATGGGGCACCGGGAAGATGCTGTGGAGGGAACAGGTGTAGAACCCAACCTGTGCAGAGAAGCTTACGATGCAGAGGAAGACACACAGGCCGATAGATAACCAAGGATGTTTAAATAGAAAATGAGGCACACGAGTTTATAGTTAAGTGCCCTAAGAGCTCAGAGCAAAAGCTGCCTTGGCTGGAGCGGTCTGGCGAGGTTTCCTGACCGCCGACACTATCCTTTTAAGTTCAGAGCACCTCCTTTTCTGGACTCTCTTAAAACCTTATTTTAGATATTGATGTAAAATTGGATGAAAACTGAAATCTTAGTTTCTAGAAGAGCTATTTACAGAAATCATAGTGGATATAATTTATCTTTAATTTCATGTTCACTTTTGGGTACTGCTGAGTTCTCTCTAAGCGGGATGAAACTGCGCACACTCTCCTTTGCCCCGGAAACTCAGTTGGCGCAACTTTGGGCCTCGCTGACCTGCTTGCTCTTTATTTCTTTCAGGTATCCTCACTCCTAGGTGCTTTCATACTTTCTCATGCCCCACTCTGTTCATGCTCTGTCCTTGACTGTGAGTAAGTTGGCCAAATGATTGATGAGGGTACCATCAACATGCATTGAAAGTGCTCTAAAATTAAATATGTATTGTTTCCAGGTCAAAAACATCCCCAAAGTGTCGTAAAACATACAAATAGGATGTAGCGTGATACAGTAGAAAGCACATGGACTTCCAAATCCACAGACCTAGGCTTTCCAACCATGTGACCTAAAGCAATGGTTCTGAACTTCAGTGTCTGTGTCTATGTGATGGGTAGATATCCATTCATCCAGATCAGGCCCACCTCACAGTGCTGTTTTGAGGATTAAATGAGGCAAACTATGTAAAATGCTTCACACAAAAATGTCTTAATATAATTACAATGTGGAATGTGCCACATCACTAATCATCTTCTGATGTGAAATTTAAAGCAGAAGACTGTCTTCTAAAATAGGAAACGTCTATTGTCTTCTCATGAATGTTCTTAAGAAAAATTCTCAGGTACTCACTTTAGAGGTCTTTGCCTCTTCAGCCTATAAGAAATAATTTTGTTATAGTTTCCTGTCTACATTTGCCTTCGTAATCTCCAAATGGATCTACTTTTCTTGCCTAGTAATCATAAACAGAAAAAGCTGTCCAAGCTCTCAGGTCACCTTTTAACCCCATGGAATGTTAGCAGTTGTTTAATTCATCTTTTTGCTATATCACCTCTACAGCCTTGCAGGCAGAGAGGTAGACAGCCTCTCCCAAGGAAAGCCAATACTTCCTAAGACTGCCCGATTCAAACATTCTAACTTTGCCTACCAGTGATTGATAGCCATTGATCCTAGTCAATCCTTCTAGAGAAAAATCGAACCCACTCTCCACACAGTTTTAAAACTAAAGCAAAACAGTCCACACTGTGCATGTGAGGAGGGTATGGTATTGCTGAAATCAAAGGGGCACCTAGTAGGGTGGCTAGAAAAAATGCAATGTTTGGGAGGATATATTTATACTAAATTATTATTTACTTAACATTCAAATTTAATTAGATATCCTATATTTTTATTTGCTAACTCTGGGAGTCTCACAAGTGGTAGCCAAAGGGAACAAGTTCAGATAGTGAACAGGGGCAGGAGAGGAAGACTAGAACTCCACCCTGCTCAGTTCTGCTCAGTCCTGTCTCAGCTCTGTGGCTCCCCAGCAGCTCTGTGGAAGCCTCTTCAGAGCATCATTTCCTGCAGAAACTACTGTTTAAAGTCACATATTTGATAAATTACCTCCCCCCACCGAGGAAAAAAACACCAACTTTCCTTTCCCTCTTAACCCTCCCATGAACCTTATTCTTGCTTGGCCAAAAGCAATCCCGACTGAACTAGGGGAGTTCTTTTGTTGAACGTGGGGCCTGCATTAGACTTTGCACAGGGACCTATGTCTCCTAACTTTCACATTTCAGTTCAAATATGTGAAGACAACTACTGTTCTCACCCAAATATCTCCTGACAACATTTCCACTCTCCCATCATTCTTCAGGTTTGAACTTCAAATAAAATGGGCAGACCTAAACCAAAAGCTCTGGATCAGATTTCAATCCTGTTTATGTGCCTTAATATTGCATCAAAACAGCCAATAAACATACGAAAAGGTGCTTAATTTCATTAATACCACCAGGAAAACAAAACCACAGATACCACCACTCATGTATCAAGATGGCTAAAATTTAAAAAGACTGACATTAGCAAGTGCTAGCTGGGATATGGAACTCTGAACTCTCAGATCTTGGTATAAATCGGTACAACCTCTTGGGAAAACTGGCAGGCTCTACTAAAGTTCAATATGTGTATATCCTATGCCCCAGCAATTCCACCCAGGTACATGCCCAAGCAAAATGCATATATATGTTCACCAAAACACATGTATAAGAATGTTAACAGCCTTAATCCTGATAGCCTAAGACTAGAAACAATCCATACATAGGTCAATAGTAGAATGGATACATACTATATGGTATAATCAGGTGGAGGAGTACTATACAGCACTGAACATGAACAAGCACTAGAGGAAAAAACAAGAATACATACAGTATAATCCTATTTATATAAAGTTTAAAAACTGATAAAGGTGGTCTATAGTATTAAAAATCAGGAGAGGTTACTTTTGGGGGACAGGTGAGGGGGTTGACTGGAAGATGGCATGAAAGGAGCTTCTGTAGTGCTGGAAATGTTCTCTTAACATGAGCAGGGATGACATGGTTCTGTTCACTTTAAAATAATTCAAGCTACACACTTGTGAATTGTGCATTTTCTGCACATTATGCTTCAATATAAGTTTTTTTAAAAAGATGGAATTGAATTTGCAGTAAATCTAGTCTTTCACACCATATGCTTATGAATTTGATTTTGCTAAAATTCTAAATACAGCACTTTGCATTTATTCTTCTGAAATTTGATTATTCAGTCAATTAAGATATTTTGAGATCCTGACTATGTCATTCAGTACACTAGCTCTGCTTCCAGTTTTATCTTTAACTACATCCCCTGGCATGCCCTTGAACAATTCCCTCTGAGTGGACAGATCAAAACACCCGCAATGTCCTCCAGGTCTGATGTTACCCAGCTAACTCTATTTTTATCACTCTTACAATTTTGTATCTTATCCCAAGGTACAATGTGAGAAATTTAGCCAAATGCCTTATTAAAGTGAAGGTACATAGCATTCTCTTTATTTAAAAGTTTAATAACTTCAAAAAAGGGCATTAGGCTAGTTTGCTCTTGGCTCTGAATCCATTTAGACCCCTTTGAATCACCTCTTGCTGATCTAGGTGTTCACCGTTAACAGGTAGGGTAACAGCTGTGGCTGCTCACGGATATCCCAGCTCTCTCTCCCCCACTGCACACACAGTAGGCTTGCCCTTCCCCACCTACTTGACATTAGATGTGTCTGCATAACCTGCTTTGCCAATGTCATGTGAGTGGCAGTGAAATATGTCACTTCTGGGAGCCACTTTAGGAATGGGTCTGCCCCACTGAATCTTTTCCCTGACTGTCTCGGCAGCCAGAATGTCCCAGCCCGGGTCCCAAAGTGAAGGCAACAATAGAGCCTCAGCCAGCCTACAATGGACATGTAACATGAGCAGAAGGTGAACAACGAATAAGCCTTTGTTCTTTCAAGTCACTGAGATTTTGGAATTACTTGTTAATGAAGCAAAACCTAGCCTGTACTGACTCGATACATGGTGCTCACCAGTCTGTGTTTTCAGGAATCCGCAGGTAGCCTCATCTCTCAAACTTCAGCACATCTCCAGTTCTTCAGCCCACCTTTTGTGCTCCGTTATATTTTGAGATTACGGACATTGTGTCTGTCAGTGCTTCCAGTGTCTGTGGATAGAGGCTGTCTGGGGCTGGCTGCTTGAATTTATTTTAGATGACTGGGGCCTTTATCACCACTTTCTCATCCTGGACTTTAATTCCTCCTCAACGATATTTGTTATACTTTTCAATTCTCCGTAGTGGAGAAAGCAGAAATAAAAGAATTGTGTGATACATCCTATTTAAGCTTTGTCCTTACTCCACTTTTATTAATTACCTTGCTTTCAATAAAGCCTAAAACAGTCCCTCTAGTTTCTCTTGACTTCAGCATTTTTCCTGAGTCTCAGCTCTTTCCAAGCACTCCATTTTCTCCCACCTTTCCTGTAAGGTCACGTAGGACTTACCGAATTCACTGCCTGGAACCGTTTGATCTGCTCCTTACCTGTTGCTTGATCCTAGTGCATGCTGTGGCTCACTGCTGCCCTTAAAGACAGAATGGGACAGAGCAGAACAGCAAGGAACAAAACCTTAGCTATCTGCTGCTTTCTCGATCTTTTGTTCACTTCTTAACATTTAATTTCACCATGGCTTTTCCTTTTAAAGATGATCTAATATTTAATACTCATTTTTAGAGGTTACTATATATTTTAAAGTTTTCAATGTTTTCCCTGATTTAAAAAAAAAAAAAAGCTTTTCTCAACTCTAAGATACATGTCAACTGTTTCACTTTTTCCTTGTAATGCTCTTATGTACCCCAATATGGCCTACCTCTGGTTGGAGTAACTAACCAGTTCCTCCCTGTTGCTCGGTAATACTTCCTCCTTTTTTAAAAAAAATTCTCTTATTTTCTGTATCACCTATTCAAGGAACTTGGGTGACTCTGAAAAAGCTGGGGATGCAATTCCTGCTTAAGGTGGTCGAGAGTGAGCGTTTAATCGGCCCCAGCAGCCAACGAAAGGCCTTAGGAAGTCTGCGTTTTCTCCGAACTAACTGGGTAACAAATTAAAATTTCTTCATTTCCTTCCACTTACAGTTTCAAGTCTTACACACACACACACACACACACACACACACACACAGAGGCTTTACATTTTTTCCTCTATTTAAGACTGTACCTTAATACACTTAATCTCTTGTTTATATATAATCTCCACTTCTCTAGTCACCTTTGTATAGCCACACACATAAACTCACCTCTACAATATTTCATTTTTTATAAAGGAGAGAGAAAAGATGGCAGACCAAAGGGGAGTGGGGAGAGGAACGTGAGGACAGAAGAAAGGCGGCCTAGACTGAGTGGGCAGTGCCCTGGCCCGTGTCCCAGGGCTGTACCCTGAGCTTCCTCCATCACGGGCATGGAAGGAGCCCTTCAGCGCCCCTGTCACCCAGCCTGTCTGCAGCAGTGCTCATTTATGCAACAGCTGTCCAGGTGCCAAGCCTAGTCCTCCTATAGAAAGTTGGCCCTTTCGAAGTGTGACTCAACAAGTCAGGCACTGTGCCACCCAGTTGCGTAAACAAGCAGCACACAGGTTAGAACCAAGCAGAGAGAGAAACAGAAATAGGGAAGTCAGATTTCCTCCATTCTTGGCTTCTTTTCCCAGAAGCTCTGTTTGGGGACTGTTTGAGGTGCCCCTAGAAGCCTGCAGTTTGCCTAGAACATGGATACTCAAAAAGAAGAAACACAGGACAGGGCCATCGTCAGAATCGCAGCTCACCTACCAGACCTCATTGTCTATGGAGACTTCTGTCCGGAGCGGCCTTCCGTGGATTATTTTGACGGAGTCTTGATGTTTGTTGATATTTCAGGCAAGCATGAAAGGGCTGTTCAGTGTGGACTAAGGACAGGCTGGCATCAGAATGGCAGGCAGAACTCAGCGGCAGGGCAGGGGTGCCACTGGCCAGCTTTTCATGCGGTTACAGCAGATATTCGTGCTGAGAAAACATCTTCACCTTCCAAGCCTGTCCGGTCACGGGCAGCCTCTAAGATGTCCAAGTCCCACACCTGGAACTTCAGGCTCCAGTGTCCCCGCCCCAATTTCATTGACTCAGCCCCCAGGCTTCACACACATCCCGGGGAAAGGTGGCCTCGGCAAACGGTCTCTCCAGATGGTGTTTCCATCGTAACAGTAAACTGGCCACCACTTCCGAAGTGGCCGAATTTTGTGTGCTTTCATTGCCGTGGATGCCAGTTCTAGGCCCTATTGAGGGAACCGCAATCGTTCCTGTACACATGCAGAGACTTGGAGGGAGGAGAACCCCGGCACTTTCCCCTGACCCCGCAGATAATAAACAGATGGCAGAGGCCGCACAGCTGACAAAGGCTGTTAAGAAGCCTGGCGGGCGAAGGCGAGGGCCCCTCTCTCTAGTGCGCCGCCTTCTCCTGCCCCTGGCTGCTTCCTCCAAGCAGCCGGGGAAACCCTGCCTGTCTGTTGCAGGTTTCACTGCAATGACTGAGAAGTTCAGCACAGCCATGTACATGGACCGCGGGGCTGAGCAGCTGGTGGAGATCCTCAACCACTACATAAGTGCGATAGTGGAGAGTGAGTGTCCGGGGCCTGGCCAAGACCAGTCCAGTTCGCCGTTTTTCCACATTTGTTGGTTAGGAGCCGATACACTGCCATTGCTTAGCACCCTAATCTTCCCCAGGAAATGTGTATGAAACCAGTCGTTTCGAAATATAATGCAGTACAAGCCGAGGAATGCAAACCAGCCTCACTAATGCGGAGTATTTGAGGGAAAGGATGTTTTGCATTCGTTCAAGGACTGGCCTAGAGACTACTTGGAAAGGAACTGTAGTAGTGACACTCTCAGCAATATTCAATAGCCCCCAAAAGCTAGCAGTGGTACAGCCCGAATGTCATCATTAGCAGAATGCTTGTGAGTAGACGAGTGATTTATAAGTAACTCATCAGTAATTTGTCTCCTAATGATGGATTCTGAAGCACGTAGAAATGACTAAAAAGCATGGTCTCCTTTTCAACCTCTGCCCACCATCTTGCTGGCATTAATAATATGAACTATTCATGAAGAAAAGGTTTGCCCTGGCCAGTGTGGCTCAGTGGTTAGAGTGTCGGCCCAAGCACCAAAGAGTCACAGGTTCGATTCTCGGTCAAGGGCACATACCTGGGTTGCAGGTTTGATCCCTGCCCCCGGTTGGGGCACATGTGGGAGGCAACCAATCGATGTGTCTCTCTCACGTCGATGTTTCCCTCCCTCCTTCCCTCTCTTCCACTCTCTCTAAAAATTAATGGGAAAAATATCCTTGGGTGTGAATTAACAACAACAACAAAGTGAAGACCCTGCTGAGCTGACCGGCGGTGTAGAAGTCCAGGGGCCAGACCCGGCCCACGGGCTGCCGTTTGCCAGTCCTCACAACAGTTCACAGAAGAATAAAATGGAAATTATTAATGCACATATGAGATGCTTAGCCTCCCTAATAATCAGAGAAATGTGACTGAAAACGAACCGGAGGACATTTCGCACTAATCAGATTGGTAAACATTTTAAAAGATATGGCATAAAAGTAATTCTCACAGAGCGCTGGCAGGAGCGTCGATTAATTCAGCCACTTTGGAAAGCAATTTGTCACTATGCAAAGCAAAATTGGAATTGGAAATGCGTGTTCGCGGAGACTCAGCCGTCCCGGTTCTAGGTCTATTACCTGGAGAGAGTTGTGCATAATTACGGTGCTGTCTGTAATAGAAAAATAAATTGGAAACAGCCTAAGTACACACACGCACTCCTACCAGCACAATTACATCTAAAAACATAATGTTGAGCGAAAACGCAGGCTTACTGTGTAATATATTTACGAAAATGTTTAAAAACACACTGCAAACCGCATTATGAATTATTCATGGCTATCTCTTTCTGGAGGTGTAAACAAGAGAACAGTGGACTGGAAAAAACACCAAATTCAGGAGGGTGATCTTCAGGTTACCTGTGGGGGGGGAATGTCCTGGGAGCGGGTCCCAGAGGGCAGCATTGTCTAATGATCCATTTCTTTTATTTTAAAACTTTTTTTAAAAAATCCTCACCCGAGGATATGTTTATTGATCTGAGAGAGAGGGGAAGCGGGTGGAGAGAGAGAGAAAAAGAAACATGGGCGTGAGAGAGAAACATGGGTAGGTTGCCTCCCGTATGCCACCAACGGAGCCGCACCAGCCGGGGCTAATATTCCATTTCTTTTATAAAAATGTCAAGCACTTGCCCCAAAATATGAACGCCTGTCAGTTGTAGCTGGTGGCCACCCCAGTACCCGCGGGTCATTCTCTCCATCCCTGTGCTTCTTCTTAACTGTCTGTGAAAGAAAGCACGGCCCAGCCAGCCTCGGCTGTGTATAAAGCGCGGGGCCTGGTGCCCCTGACCTGCCTCGCCGCCCGAGGGCCGCTGGCT